AAGCACTTTGAACTGCACTAAGCTGTTTGAAATGTGCTATACGAATAAAGTTTGATTGATAGATTGATTCAAATGTGCGGAACAAAACTCAGGAGAAGCAGCACAACCTGAGAGTATTTCCCATCTTTGCTGAGAGTTGGTAAAGGACTGAAACGCCCCCACTGTCCCCAGTAAAGGCAGGGTGAGTTCAGTCCTTTTAGCAAATAAACGTCCGGGCTATTAGAAGGTGTACGGTATATTTGGCCTCATTAACAGTGGGAGAAGGAGGAGACATGACGTCCGTCTTTTATATGTCGATGATTCTAACATAGCCAAGAAATACAGTTGTAACAAACTATTATCCTGTAAAATATCAAATCATTTCAGACCTCAATACGTCTACTAGCAACACAGCTTCCCTTCAGAGACACTGCGGCCATGTTTTCCTACACAGATCTCCATTGATGAGTAATAAAGTTCATACAAATACAAGCTTCACTCATTTACCCTCACACAGACAGACACACACACACACACACACACACACACACAGACACAGACCTGACAGCAGGGCACACATGGAGCTTTACATCCTGTTTAATGACTGCTCCCTCTCTCTCCCTCTCTCCCTCTCTTCATTAAGCGTTATCAACCTCTCTGGCCTAATCTCTCTGAAATTAGTGTCTGGTCTCTACCACCTAAGTGACTGGCTGGCATTCATTAGCGCTGCGGTTTAGCCAAATCAATCACGCCGCGCCCCGTCCGCCACGCTTTCTTAAAATGTCATCCTCAAACTTCTCACAATCAATTAAGCGGGAGATTAATGAGGCCAATTTGCCACCAACACGTCGGCCTCCCCTCCTCCGCTGAAAAGGCTGCACGCACACACACAAACACACACTCACAATGGTGTGGAGACACACTTTGAATTATATATGTACACAGAGGACACACGCACCAATTCCTGTAGAAAGTGTGTTTGTCCTATAAGAAGTTGAGTAATAAACCAAAATAAAAGAATCATTTGATATTCCATTACTATGTGTACATGGGGAATGCACTTTAGATATTAATGATGTGTATTAGTGTATGAAACTACAGCTATTGTCTAATACTTGTTCAGAAATGTTTATTTAGTGCTGTGAGAAGAGGAGGCGTAATAAGCATTGACTGTTTCCATCATTAATCGTATAATCTCTTATTCTTTCTTTTAGCAGCGAGGACCCACTGAGACCGAGGTCTCTTCTCCAGGGGTTCCCTGCGACAGCGTGAGAACGGGATAAAATACACATAAAAGACATAATTATACACACTTTTATAGGAAACGCAATGTGTTGCCATCCATATTGCCATAATATTTGGATTTGCAGGCCTAATCCTGAGCAGCAAACCTCCAACACGTCATCAAGGTCAACAGCTTGATCCGGCTGTACAGTGGAAGAACACTGTACCAGCATCACCGCTGACCCCCCAAACTAAAACCCTGTTAGTGTAGCCTGGTTCCAGTTATTGAATTACAGTCCAATCTGTGAATAGAGCCCGTCATGTTGTGTGACTATAAATCATAGAAAACTTGGTACTTTCGAAAACAAAACGTAGATATAAGCAGGTAAGCTTTAAAAAGTAGTCTCTTCATACAGAGTACAAGAGCAAAACTCCCTCACACACACACACACACACACCCACACACACACACACACACACACACGCCTTCCGACTTCCAGGTGAGGGAGGCCCACATTGTTCGTGTCACTTCCAATCTCACAGCTGCTTCAATCTGCCTCGGGATCTGCCTCATATGGTTGTCATAGAGACTCTCCAGGGATTATAACAAGGTATTATGGGATGTATAGTGTGTCGAGCTGCAGGATCAGAACACGGTGTTAACACTGATACACACACACACACACACACACACACACACACACACACACACACGGCTCGACACAGCAGCGATGCTCAGAGCAGCGTGAGCGGATGCGCGGTGGCTCAGCTGCTCTTGCTTGTTCCAGCCTCGTGTTAACACTCACACATGACAACATGATGTGCAGAGTGGCGGAAGAGGAGAGTCGGTTGTCACGGCGACACGCTCGCTCTCCGCGGTGGCTGTCTGTGGGATTAAAGCGGGACAGATAAAGAACAATCGTACCAACAAGGACTCGTGATGGATGTGGTGGAGTCAGCTGGTTTGACGCAGGAACAGCGCCCTCTGGCTGCCAGCGTTACAATCATAGTGTTCACACCTCTGAGAGCGCAGTGACGCCCACAAAGTATTTAAATAAACATCTGGTCAGAGAACCATACAACGAGAGCACGGGACAGGAAGCAATGAACCAGGTAGTTACAGCTTACTAACAGCTGAAACACTCCTCAGACGGCATCACACACACAACAGACGGTGAATTAACAGCGTTATGAGCCGGTGCTAACATATCTAGAGTCTGTTTCTAGAGTTACATGTTGTTACGAACACGTTAGGAATTGTTAAAATGTGATATTTCTTAAAGGGAGTTTGGTGCAGGGAGCTTTTAGTTGGATTCAAACTGCTGATATGGATCATTGTTAACGTTTAGTCTCCACTACAGAAACACTAGCTAACTGCTGAAGGCTGATCAGGTGGTCTGATGTTGAGTGCTGTTAGTTATTAGTCTGATTAATGCTTTAAAAATGTGTGTATTGATTACTGATTATCAGCTAACTGTACTCTGATGGCAGTATGCTGTAAATGGTTGCCCTTTGTGTGCCTGTTACTATCCTACGACTTATTTTACAGTTTCATGGTCAGTTCCAGCTGTGTAGGAGTCGCGTTGAGTTACTGCTGATTAAAACACTTTTTTGCTGCCTCATAATAAAAGTATTTACATAACAAAATAAACTGAGACTTTTATTGTGAAGAAGTTACAGAAATGTGTTTATCGGAGTAGAGCAGCTTAGTTAGCTGCTTTTCGCACTCTATTCATTCAATTTTGGACTTTCTCCTCCTGTTAAGACACACCTTCGAGCGGGTTGTAAAGGAGATGCAATCCCTGCAATGCTGGGCTGGTTCCACCGAGTCAAACCGAGTCGAACCCGGCCAGCACGCGTATGGAAAAACGTCACAAACACTTCAAGAACCCAGATTACAAGGCAGGCAGTTGTGTAATGTGAGCAGGACGGTCAGTGTCGGTGTGTTTTTCACACAGCGGACGTTTCAGTTTGTAATGAATTCTTCATGTCTGTGAGCCACTATTCTGTCGGGATCCTTGAATACGATAAAGAAGATTAGAAAAGTGTGTATTTTTACGCAGCGAGGGCTCACTGGTGTCAGTGAGATTACAGTAATAATCAGGTGTAACAGATGCAAACACACACAAAGAGTCTTGCACGCAAACAATGAAAAAGAACAACTCTTTTGGAGGGTTATAAAATCATGTCAGAAACGGATGTACGCTTACAAACAGTGCGTATTGTACGACACACACACACACACAGATTACGAGGCTCTATCAGCTGTGCTATCGCGTCAGCCTGGTTGTGATGTTAAAAGCTCAGCCTTTGGGCTGTAAGTTAAACAGATAAGGAGTGGAGCATGTTAGGGATTAATACTACAAGACACACACACACACACTTCACACACACACACACACACACACACACACACACACACACACATAAACCCGAGGGAGGGAACAGCGATAACCCAGTCATTATCATACTTTCATAATTCCATTTAATAATTCAGCTTAGCCGGGGCAGCAGCTGGATGTTGAGGAATAATTGAAGTCGGCTGTGGTGAAAAATCTGAGGGTGAATTATGAAGAATTGGCGCACTAATAATGTAAAGGTACATTACGAGGAATAATTTAGCTTCAGAAAAGCTCAAAGGCAAATCACAAGAAATAATTCAGCCAACAAAATGGTGTAAAATCCTCTTTCTGAGAAGAAATGTGACAGGATTTGGACCCCAGACTGTTATATTCTAAGGATTCAGTAACTGTAGTGAAATAACAGAGAGTAATTCATAATTCATCAGGCCTCGCTACTGGCACCATGAGGCTTTGATGCTCATTGCACACTAGGAAGCAGAGGGAGAGCTTTGCGGTTCTTAGATCTTTACCACTAGTAAAGTTAATGTAAGTAAATGTAACGTACGCAGCCTGGGTACCAGATAAAAAGAGAAGGGCCCAACTGCAGTCCCTCCCTCCTGAAGACCATGAGTAGTTTGTGCCTGAACAAATTGTAATGTAAAGGTTGTTTCATGCATACAGGTTGCATAAAACCATGATAACATGTAGCATATTAGCTTACTTAATTACTTTCAATCCCTACACATACAAATATCTGCACTTTCTATTCTACTTTCTACTGCACTTTTTGCATCATTGCACGCCTTCCCAACATCAAGACCGGTGCAGATCACGCATGAAAGACGTAACATGATAAAACAGACACGAGCGGGAGACTCGATAGCTTTGCACAGAAACAGCCGGTAGAAAGAGAAACCAAGTACTTTTTACTTCCATATTTGAAGTACATTTCAGAGTGTGTGCTTTTTTACTTTTACTTGAGTAAAGAATCAGTACTTCTACTTTTACTGGAGGAGTTTCTCGCACAAGTACTTGTACTCACTTGAGTGTGCACCTTTGCTGCCTCTGGTGATGGCACTACATGAACTATGAGCGACTTCTGGGGAACATAAATAAATAAAGTTCAATCGAAGAGTTCCTGAAATATTTGACAGCGAAGCGACCGCTGCTATCCTCAGAGCTTAACACGAGCTCTACAGAGAAACCAAACATGGGAATATCTATAGAGGAAGAGGTTTGCATGTGTGTGAGTGTGTGTAGTATATTGATTCTGCATCATGTTGAGTGATGCAACAATTCAAAAACAACTGGAAACCAAAAGGCACTGAAGATTTTACTAGATCAAGTGTGTGTGTGCAGCTTTGTGTTTGAACCTGTGCTCAGATATCCAAATGCATTTCCAACCCTCTTCCAGAGCTCAGATAAAGTGAACCTTCAACCTTGAACAGTTCCTACCTGTAAAATGTGGCTGCCCAGGTGAGGCTCGAAGATCTCCGAGGCGACGGCGCTGGGGCTCCTCCTTCGCTGGGCACCGATAGCTAAACACACACACACACACACACACACACACACACACAGACACACACACACACACACACACACACACACACACACACACACACACAAACATACACGCACACACAAGGAGAGAGAAAGCACAGGACAGGACAGAAGAAGACCGGTGAGACTCAGACACATTGATACGAGCAAAGCTCACACACACACACTCACACACAGGTATTCACACACTCACGTTTATACAGCCTAGCGTGACGAACACACATGGCACAAGACAAGAGGAACCAGTGAGGTCAGCTCTGCAGAACAGTCTGGAACAGTGCGACAAGTTAGCATTATTAGCTCTCCTCACTGAAACCAAAGGAAGCAATTAGCTCGATGCTAATGAGGCTGCAACCGGCCGTATCCTTTGGGCTACACGAGGAGCTAATAATGCTAACAAGTTTAATTTATCGGTGGAAAAGTTAATTTATTGCTTCAAAATGATGCAATAGACATTTTTATGCAAACAAACATGAGTGTGTTCACATGCAATCACTTCGAAATTGTGGACATGTGGAGGTTTTGTGGAGCAATTAAACCGAAACTCTGAGATGAAAGATGCTAAGACGCTCTGTAGAGCTGAGGAGATCATACTTCATATTACACATATGATGCTTTTAAACAATAGAAACATGGTTTATTGCAGCTTGAAAGATCTTCTATAATCTTTTTGACCACAGACACTACAGGTAAATGTGTTCCAGTGTTCAGACGCTCCACTAGTGTTTCTGAAACCAAGATGATGGCAGAGTGGCTGAAGGTAAGTCTCTGGTGGACCTGAAAGGCGAGTCTGAGGGCAAGGATACCAAAAAGGGCATGCCTCTCTTGCTCATTTATTCTCTTTTCCTTTCTGTTGCTCGCTATCCCTTTTATTATTCTCATTTTTCTATCCATCACTGTTCATCTCTGGAGAGAGAGAGAGAGAGAGACAGTGAGATGCAGAAAAGAGAGAAAAGAGAAAGAGAGAGAGAAATGGTTTATAGCTTTCTAAAATTTCTCCCTGAGGGCAAAAGTCTGTCTAAAGAGAAAAACAGAAAGTACAACAGCCAGAGAAAGAGAGAGAGAGAGTGAGAGAGAGAGAGAGAGTGGAAAATCTGCCCTCAGGTTAGACTGTCTCTCTCTCTTTCTCGCATGCTCTCTCTTTCCCAAAAGAGGACAAAGAGGAAGACAAAGCCAGAAAGTGAGCGAGGAATGTGACTTTTTAAAATGTTCCCTTTATCGGCTGTATTCAATCACTGAACATCTACATCATTCACCCATAAACATGGGTCACAAACAGAGAAAGACACCAACAGCAGCAGCAACACGTGGCTCCACTTGTCCCTAAAAGCATCAGCATTATCAGTCTGATGTGAGCTGCAAGCTGTGCATGAATGTCCTGAAAGAGCGAGTTCCCAAGCAGCTCCTGGTACTGCTGAAGCCAGCTCCTGTGAATGTTTAACGGTGTAAACGGGAAACGGGCTGAAATGTCTACAAGTGACAGCATTATGGAAAGGATCCCTACAGAGATAGACCTCATGTTTAACCACAAACAGCCGTAATATCACTATCACTCTCCACCAGACTCCAGAGACACAAACACTCAGTTTACCTTCAGATCATCGTAACTTCATTCAAAGTGAACAGAAACAGAATAAAACTCATTAAAACCGTCTCTGTTAGTGTTTCCAACAATCACCAACTCTGGTTTGGTGGAAATAAATCCTTAATTCAGCGACTCAGAGGAGAAAAACAGTTTGTAGTACAGATCTGTCACAACTGTCTCTGCATTCAAAGGGAAATTAAAAACTTGCCTCTGTAGGGTTTCTTCTGTCTTTGGGTAACGGGTGAATTTTTTCTCATATTTTTTGCTTTTGTCATTGTTGCTTTTTCTTGTACTTTCTGTGTTTTATTCTTCTGTACATGATACTTGTTGCTTCGTGCATTTTAATGTAAAGAACATCGAGTTTATTTAAAGAAAATATGCTATTAAATAACATCACTGCGCCTTGAGGCAAAAAAAAACTGTCACAAAGAAACAAAAGTGAACCAGACCGAGAGAGACAGTGAGAGAGTGCGAGCCAGAGAGTGAGACAGCTGCAGACAGTGAGACAGGCACACGGAGAGGCATTAAAGCTCACTAAAAGAGAGATTTTTCTGCCCTGAGGTAATTTTCTCCTCTCTACACAACCTCCGTCCTCGTCTCCCCGCAGACCTCATTACACTGAATTTAAACTCACACACACACCTCCTGTCGGGTTTTTTTTTTTTTTTTGGGAGGGGGGTGTAATGTAGCTGAATTAGGCTCAATTAATGATGTAATGAAATGCCCATGTGAGCGAGAGAGTTTAAAAGAAAGGGGGCGAGGAGAGAAAAGACAAAGGAGGACGGCTGATGGAGCTGATCTTTATGACTATCTTTATTTGTAGAAAAATACAATTTGTGTTGTGAGCTCAAACAAACAAGGAACACAATTAAACATATAAAAAAATAACTACATTTTTAAATTAATTTGAGCTCAAATTCATCCACTAAAACAACGGTGGGCCCATTTTTACACTAAAAGACCAAAAAACTGTGTAGAAGAATCACGAGTGAGATTTTACACTGAGGTGGGTGAGTAAGGGGGGAGGTTGGGGGAGGACCATGTTACATCAAAGAGGAGGCGGTGAGAAGAACCTGAAGAAGGAGTTGAGGAAGAGGAAGAGATGAAGAGGAGGAAAGAGAGGATTGGGAGGAAGATGAGCGTGAGCAGGAGGATGCAGACTGAGAAAGAGGAGGATGAGTTGAGGAAGAAAGGTTTAGAAAAAATGTAGTATGAGACTAAAGACAAGAGTAAGGAGCTGATGAAGGCGAGGAGGAGGAGGAGGAGGAGGAAGAACATTGTCACTGATTATAAAAGCTGCTTCTGAACTGACAAAGTTAGAAAAAACCTGACAGCTTTCATTGGTCTCTCTCTGTCATGTGACCCTTGCTTTACAGGGAGGAGGTGAGAGAGGAAGAGGAGGAGGAAGATCAACACGTGACAGCCAGAGAATAACAATGACAACCATCTCTCTCTCTCTCTCTCTCTCTCTCTCTCTCTCTCTCTCTCTCTCTCTCTCTCTCTATCTTCGTAGTAAACAAGTTTTGGGTGTGTGTTTCAGTGAGCCCCTCCAGCAATGCTCTGAGCGTTTAGCCACCAGAGTGTGTGTATAGGTGTGTGTGTGATTGTGTGTGTGTGTGTGTGTGTGTGTGTGTGTGTGTGTGTGGAGTGTGTTTGATTGGGTGTGTGTTTGTGTGTGTGAGAGAGAGAGATGTGGTTACAGACAAAGACCTGAACTCTTACAGGAAGAGTCCAATGCACGCACACAGACACACACAGACACACACACACACACACACACACACACACACACACACACACACACACTTGCTGTTCCAATAATTAAAAATACAGATTTTTCTTTGAAAAACAAATGTAAAGAGAATGAAAAGGGAATAAAATGGAAGTGTAAAGGAAAAGGGGTGAGAGGAAGGTGACAGGGGATGAAAGGGAGTCGGAGGGAGGGAAGGAGAGAAGGATGAAAAAGATGGAGGAAGAGGAGGGAAGGAGAAAATACTTTCAAAATAAAGGAGACAACTATAAATGGATCATTAGGTGAGAGTACAAAGTTATTTTTAGTTGCCAGAACTTTACCGTAACAAATACAGTAGAACTACTATTACAGTAAAAGGATATTAGTGCTGTTGAGTTTTAATCCATATTTTACTGTATAAATACACGTTTTTACCATCAATAGGAACAGTTTTACCGTATGAAAATACCATATGATGCTCTGATGGTGGTATTCTGTGCAGTTTACAGTCTGTAATATAAAAAAACAACTCTATTCTGTATAAATTCCTTTAAAATAAAGGTTTTGCCATCATAAATCACAGAATATTACTGTTACATAAACTTTAACCTGTTTACAGTTTATGGTCTTTTAATGTGGTTTGACAGTTTTTCACTGTAAAATCTACAGACATTTATTTTCTTACAGTGTATTTAAAAAATAAATAAAAATTGTATTTGTAATTTGGGGGCAGTAGCTCAGTCCGTAGGGACTTGACTCGAGAACTTAAACCGTTGCGTGGCAGCCCATCACTCCACCATCTCTCCACGTTTAATAAAGTTAATCTTATTATTTTTTTATTTAGGAAGAAAACAAATAGAAAGAACAAAGAATAAAGAAATAAAAAAGTCAATAACAGATTAAAGGATTTAGTGACATCTAGTAGTGTAAATACACAAAATAAAAATGTTCTCTATTTAAAATGTTTAAATAGGAAAAGCTCCTTTGCTTCACACAAGCGCAGAGAAACTATGCTGGTCATGAAATGCACAATAAACGCCAACACCTCTATCTACAGTCAGAGTTTGGTTTGTCCCTTCGGAGCCACTGTAGAAACATGGCGGTTCAACATGGCGGACTCTGATGAATATTATACTATATTCCATTTCTGCCTCCTAAATGTTACACACTGGACCTTTAAAAAAATAAAGGACAAACTCATGAAGAAGACCAAACTTCTCGAAAATATGTTAGTGTGTGTGTGCATGTGTGTGTGTGTGTGTGTGTGTGTGTGTGTGTGTGTGTGTGTGTGTGTCTGACCATCTTATTGGAAAGTCAATTTAACTTTGGTCTCTCAAAGTCAAACATTACTGCTGTTGTTAATTTATTTTCTTGTTTAATATGAAATTGGCAACAAACCAGCGACCCGTGTGTGTGTGTGTGTGTGTGTGCGTGCGTGCGGGCGTGCGTGTGTGTGTGCGTGCGTGTGTGTGAGTGTAGTAAGAGAGAGATCATGTAGGTGTGTATTAGAGAAGGAAAAGCGTGTGTGTGTAAGACAGAGAGAGAGAGAGAGGGGAGGGGGGATCGGTACTGTTACACAAATTGCCAATTCAATTAGCGGTAGGTGTAAGAACACCGGAGAGAGAGAGAGGGGGGGGCGGCCATTTTGGCAGAATGTCAGA